AAAAATTATTTATTACTTATAATATAATGTACATATATGTTTACATGGTGTTACATGGTGTTACATGGTTACTTATACTATAATGTACATATATGTTTACATGGTGTATTATACATATAATACTCGGTATTACACAAAATCACAAATAAAATGTTTCAAATAAAATTGGAATTTTCTTTGCCAGTGTATTGAAAATCAAATAAACTCAATGTAGTGACTTATCTGGCATTTATTATACTGGTCACAACGACGTTTCGATCGCGAATTGCGATCCTCTTCGGGTTATACAATACGTAGTTGACTAATGTTGAAGCATTCTGTCATATCTACAACTAACAGTGAATAATATCGTAAATTTATAGTGTATTCCGGATTATAACATATTATACACAAAACGTCGAATCTTACAAGTCAATAGATTACAATTTATAACAGATTATACATAAATAGTCCAAAACTTACATGTCAGTTTATTAAAAACTTAATAGAATTAATGTTCTTTATATCCCATTTCGCGAGCACGATCTCAACAAGACGTCTATCCAACTCGGCACTTCGAAACGTTATGGTAAAAAGTCAATAATGTTTATAAGATTCTTATTAGGTACTTTGTCATACATTTTCGATAAATTGTCTGTGTCATTTTGAAGATTTATTGTTTTGTTATTCTTTTTAATGAGAACCATTTCGACAATTTTTCGTTTCTTTGTCTGTTTTTCTCTGTGTAATATTTTAGGGTTGGACCAGTCGAAGTTATGATTTAATAATTCGCGATGTTTGCTAATCACTGAGTGGTTATCAGCGTCTTTTTTAATATTAGATTTGTGTTCTTTTACCCGTGTTTCTAAGTGTCTTTTTGTTTGTCCTATATAACATGCGTCGCAATTGTCACATTCTAGCATATAAACTAGCTCGGTTTGTTTCATGTTAATGAGTGGATCTTTCCCTTTTTTAATCACTGAGTTGAGTTTTTTTGGGACAGTATACACGGGATCGAAACCCCGGTCTTTTAAAATCCTGTGAATGCCTTCGCTTATGTCTTTAATGTATGGAACCGTTACAAAGTTTTTATTGAACAAGAAATTATTCCTTTCATTATTGTTCGTTGCTAAACCATGCAAGGCTGGTTTTTTCTAGGTGGAATTAAGGAGAGCATGCGATGGAGGGCCGATCACACGTTTTTTGTTCAGTACAATTTATTATCAGAGGAACTGTCACGACACACTTGTGAATTTCAACTCTTCGCGTTCGACTCAACTATTCGACTGTTCTATCGACAGGTCTCGTTCAAGGGATCTCTCCCACCTTACATGCTATTAGCCCGCGATACATGATATTAGCGCGTGATCGCAGCCCGAAACATCCCGAGCGCCTTCGATCTTAGTGTATGCTCCAACATCCCGCCCACCATTAATACTAATTAATCCTTATGACCTTAAATTAGATTTCATTTCAGCGATCGGGAGCTTACACAATTTATTTATTGCTCTCTTATATGTACCGTTGGCCGTCTGAAGTGTGACAATTCGCACCTTGTCGTCCCTTCCCTTATGTAATTCGTTTACTCGTCCTAATTTCCACCTTAGTGGTGGCGCATTGATGTCTTGGATTAACACTACGTCATCAATATTTAAATTAATTTGCTCGCGATTCCATTTCACTCTGCCCTGCAGAGATGTCAAATACTCTTGGCTCCATCTTTTCCAGAAATCTTGAGTAATTTTGTGAACGATTTGCCAGCGATCGAGGCGATTTATGGGTAGTTCAGTCATGTCGATGTCAGGGAGAGCAGTCAACGAACCACCAATCAAAAAGTGCCCTGGTGTAAGCGGTTGCAGGTCGGCGGATGTTGACGGTAAGTGACAAATCGGACGCGAGTTTAAGCATGCTTCGATCTGAATCAAAACGGTACTTAGCTCCTCAAAGGTCAACAAACTCTCGCCTACAACACGTTTTAAGTGGAATTTACACGACTTTACACCTGCTTCCCACAATCCTCCCATATGAGGAGCTGGTGGAATGAACTTCCATTCAATTTTATTCGGGATAAAAAATCATCATTCAATTTCTGCTCTTCCCTTTCAAGCAAGTCATACATCTCGCGAATCTCGTTGCGTGCTCCGACGAAATTCGTTGCGTTATCGCTATATATACGTTGAGGATATCCTCGACGTCCGGCAAATCGCCTAAGAGCGGCTATAAAGGATGCTGAACTCAGATCGCTGACAGTTTCGAGGTGGACCGCCTTAGTCGTGAAACAAACGAACAACGAGATATACGACTTGCCTGTTTTTCTACCTCGGCCCCGATTGAGCAAGGTTACAATCGGTCCGGCAAAATCCACTCCAGTAACAAAGAATGGTCGATTCGGCGTCACCCGATCCGCGGGCAATTGCCCCATGATTTGTGATAACATTTTTGGTTTATTCCGAAAGCAAGTTACACATCTATGTGTGACTCCCCTAGCGATGTTCTTTCCCCTTAGCGGCCAATACTTCTCTCGAATAGAACACAGTAGTGCCTGAGGGCCGATATGCAGCAATCTAATGTGCTCTCTCTCGAATAATAACTGCGTAAATCTGCTATTCGATGGTAGAATTATAGGATGTTTATTTTCAAACGTCAAATTCGAGTTCTGGATTCTGCCGCCCACCCTGAGGATTCCTTCCTTGTCAATGAACGGTTTGAGTGCCAATAGACTACTGCTGGTCCGAACCTGTTTGCCCGCTCGCAAATCTGTTAATACTTCTGAGAAACCACACTCCTGCACCGCAGATATCAACAATCGATGCGCGTGCCAAATTTTTGCATTTGACAAGCTTCCGAAATTCCTCTTGTCGCGACTTGATTTGACGTTGTTCCCGAACCGAATGCTCCACGCGACGATTCTCTCAATTCTTGATAATGAAGAGTTATTTCTCAACAATGATTCAACAATGTGATCCTCCCTAACCACGCTCGCGAAAACCTGTCTATGTGACCGTTGCTCGATTTAAATAACCCTTTCGTCTTCCTCAGTGAGGGACGGTTGCAAACCGTATTGCTCAAACCTTTCAAGACGCGACAGCCAATGCGGACCTTCCCACCAGATTTTGCTCTGTTTTAAATTCTCTAAACTAGTGCCTCTTGAGATCAAATCCGCCGGGTTCTCTATTCCGTCCACGTGATGCCAGTGCATCGATGGGAGGACCGACTGTATCTCGGCTACACGATTCGAGATGAATGTCTTCTGACGCGATGGATCGCCGGCGATCCATGCTAAGACTAGTGTCGAATCGCTCCATGCATGCACCTCATCAAACGCAATTTTGAGCGCTCTCTTTACGTTTTGAACCAATCTGACCAAGACAATAGCGCCGCACAACTCGAGTCTTGGCAGTGTAATAGTTTTGCTTTTAATTGGCGCCACTCGAGACTTAGAGCAGATTAAAAGAGAACTCGAAGTATTGTTCCTATCGATCACTTGTAAGTAGATGCAAGCTCCGTACGCCTTTAGCGAGGCGTCACAAAATGCGTGGAGATTGAGGCGCATCGCATTGGAGCCCCGAACAATTCTACGCGGGACTCGAATCTCGCCGACTCCCCGCAAATCCCCCACGTATGCATCCCACGCTCGACGGAGACCCTCGGTCAACGGTTCATCCCACCCGAGATTTGATATCCACGCTTCTTGCATAATTAGCTTAGCTCGAACCACAATAGGACCGACCAAACCAAGCGGGTCAAACAGTCTCGAAATCGTTGATAAAACCTCGCGCTTCGTTGAAACCGGATCGACCATACAATCGACAGAGAACTGGAAGACGTCCCCTCGGACACCAATTTAACCCCAGCGTCTTTATCGTACTCGCCTCGATCGCTAAAGCAGATGGTTCCCCAATCTGATCGATTGTTCGCAATTTTTTTATCACTCGTTCGCTGTTTGTAGGGGAAGGTGGCCTAAAGCGGGTAAGCTAACGTTAAAGGACCAAAAATTTAAATTTTTGTTCGATTATGATAACAGGTTTCATTTTATTCGATAGGAGAGTTATCGAACTTAAAAATAAAACAACATGATGGTGTCATTTTGTATCAAATAATTATTTATTATCAAAAATTAAATACTCTTCAAAAACCCGCTTTGCCCTAATAGGGGGCCTAAAGCGGGTAAGCCGTTTGGGCAAAGCGGGTAACAAACAACAAAAGAAGAAATTACACTGATAAGAGAATTAAAGAATAACTTTAGACTGTTTATTGTAAGTACACATATCACTCTTTTTTTAGAACTAATATTGAGATCTCAGTTATGTATCTAACTGTCATAAAAAATAACTTTCTCTTTTAACTTATACTTATTCAAGTAATAATCTCAGACTCATTTAAACAGTCTTTAGCAATATAAAAGTCTCAATTATATAAATGTAGCAGCACTTAGACTTACATGACTATTAAATTGACAAACTTTAATTAGGTACGTTTATTAATAAAATAAGAAATAAAAAATATTAAAAAAATAAAGCAATCGCCTCATTCTTGATATAAATCACAAAAATAGGAACCTATTCCTGAAAAATTAGTACAAGCCTCATGATCCCACTCTTCCCTTTTTTAAATGTCTTTGCAAGGTAGAGAGCGTGATGCCATATTTCTTTGCAGCCGCGGAAACTGAAATAGTTTTGGATTCTTCCATTGCAATTTGCATTGTCGCCTTACTCCAGGATGCCTGTTCCGTTTTTCTGTTATATTTATTAACCATCTAAAACTTATACAAAAAACTAATTGTAAGTATAAAACTGTATAAGGCAAAGCGGGTACCTACTCGCTTTGCCCTACCCGCTTTGCCCAAGAGCACATTTCTTACTTGAGGAATTATAACTTCAAAAACATAAAAAATTACACAGGTATTTTTATCTTGTTTTAAAGTTAGATAGTACCAAAATAATATGATATTATTAACAATATGATAAATGTACATGTTTTTGACTAATCAAAAGATACATACCTTCAGTTTTTTTAAGAAATTCACCAATTTTTTAATATTGCACGCAGTCACGTCATATGACAACTCCGGCGCCCGATCGGAACTGATCGAAACTCGGGAGTGTTCGGGTAATCTTGGCATACGCACACATTGACACTTGCGTTTCATTCGACAGTATACGAGCGCTTACCCGCTTTAGGCGGGCCACCCGCTTTAGGCTACTCTCCCCTACGCCATTTATGTGCCTCGAATCCGCCCTTACCTAGCAACGAATTTAATTGTGATATTAATTGTATCGCTTCGTCCTCACAATTGACACCCGTAATAATATCGTCGACGTACAAATCATTTAACAGAACTCTCGATGCTTCGCTGAACTCATTAGCTCCTTCCTCCGCCAACTGCCGCACGCAACGAATGGCCAAGAAGGGAGCACATGCTTGACCGTATGTAACAGTATTTAGCTTATATTCGGTTATTGGATCGCTCGGAGAAAATCGCCATAAAATCCTCTGATAATCGCGATCGTTTGGATGTATCAATATTTGCCTGTACATTTTTTGAAGATCTGCTGTGACAGCTATAGCCGGCAGACGAAAACGCATCACGATATCGATTATATTATCCTGCAATTTTGATCCCACTAGCAATGTGTCGTTAAGAGAAAGACCAGAAGTGGTTCTTGCCGACGCGTCGAAAACGACTCGCAATTTCGTTGTTAAACTTGTTTTGCGAATCACGCCATGATGCGGTAAATATATCGGATTCGACGCGACATCGCCCCCGTCAACAGCAGACATGTGACCCAAGTCAACGTATTCGCGCATAAATTCAATGTATTGATCACGAAATTCTAAATTTCCTTGAAGTTTACGTTCCAAATGGCTGAATCGTTTCATGGCGACATTTCTCGATCGACCCAATTGGTCCCTGTTTTCCCGAAAGGGCAATCGAACGACGAATCGTCCGGACGCCACATCTCGACTAGTAGTGTTTACAAAATAATTCTCGCAACGTTCTTCATCCCTTGATAATAGCGTGTTATTATTCTTATATTCCTCTAACTCCCAAAACGTTTTGAGAGTCTCATCGAGAGGTACTTGCTGTGTCAACAAACACGTATGATTGCTTGAGGGTTGATCCTTGTCCGCTCGACCCGCAATTAAATGCTGCGGTACCGGACCCGCTATAACCCAACCGAACTTTGTATTCTGCAACGCAAGCAAATCGTCGCCTAGCTCTATTTTACCGTTGTCCAACAATTGAAGAAAGAATTCGCTTCCGATGAGCGCATCAATATGACCGGGACTAAAATACAACGGATCCGCCAATTTCAAATTGTCGGGAATCCTCAATTGCAACTCGGATGCTTCGACTGTAAACGAAGGTAATTTTTTCGTGATTCTCGGAACGACCAAACAATAAGAATTTAACTCAAAATTTGATGTCCGCGATCTTAATGAAACCTTGCAACCGTGAGTTATGACACAGCTCATACCGTTCAATCCGCTTATATTTTCTCGACTGGGTTCTAGTTTAATATTTAATCTCTTGCATGCAGCCGCCGTCACGAAGTTAAGCTCGCTAGCGCTATCCAATAGTACCCGCAATTGAGATTCACCTATACTCGTTTTTACATTAACTATGGCTGTTGCCATTAAAACTCGCTTACGCTCGCAATCGTTTCGGATACGATGTCCAGACGACTCAATGTCGCCAGTTGCTGCTCCTCTCACGGCATCCGTCACTGAACAGAGTGTTGTACCAGTGGATGCTTCCTCCGGGTTCTCTGTCGGACTCCTCGGTGGCCTAGTTGGCGGGTTCCGCGCTTGTTCTTTTAGGTGACACAGCGAGTTATGCCGCTCGCCGCATTCCTTACAAGAGCCGTACCTGCAAGATCTAGAATAATGATCTGATCGAAAACAATTAAGACACAACCTTAATCGCCTTATTTCTTTAATTCTGTCCTCGACAGCCAAACTTAAGAATGTTTTGCAATTATAGATGAGGTGCTGTCCTTGACACAGGTAACATCTCTTTTCTTGGGTTGTCGTTGCTAACGTCGTTTTGCCGCGCAATTTAGTGGTCGAACCTAGTTGCTTGTTCGAAGCCTTCTTTTCGCAGACCTCGGTTCGCGTTCCGTTGGTACCGCCATCCGCTGCCGATCGCCGCAACAACTGGCTCTGCCGCTGCAGGAACTCCATCATCGTAGTTGTCGTAACGTCCTTCTTGTCCTCAATGTACTCCTCCCATCGCCTTCTGGTAGCGCTGTCCAGATTTTTCTCGATGAGGTATAACACTAGGTCTCCCCACGAGTCCGTGGGGAGCGTCATTGATTGTAGCACCCTTATGTGCTTCTGTACGTGATCTACAAGTTCCTGAATTGCGCTTGCAGACTCTTGTTTGATCTTCGGCAACTCGTCCATTAGGCATTGTATATGTCGCCTTTTTATTCCTCTTCCATCGTCATACCTTTTTTACAACAGCTCCCAGGCGATGACGTAATTATCTTCGGAAATGTCGATCGCCTCGATTATTCTCGCTGCCGAACCACTCAGGGATCCGACCAAATACTGATGCTTCTCCACCCCAGATAGCTCACTGTCATGAATCAGTGTTTTAAAGGTATCCGAGTATCTCTTCCAATCCTCCACATTTCCGTCAAATGTCGGTAGCTTGATTAATGATAATTTTACTTGAGCCTCTCGCACGGACGCATTCGACCGCGTGCTCAATCTCTCCAACAGTTGACCTTGTTGTTCCATGGTCCTAACTAGCGTATCATTGTCATTACGCTCAGTTAATTTTTGTATTAAAATTACCTGCTGCTCCAGAAATTGTTTCATGGTCGCATCGTTAGTAACACCGCTTGCGCCGCTATCCGACGGTCCCGCTGGAGGTGATTTAAACCTTTTCAATAACTGTAATAACTCTGCCTTTATGGAGTAGTACCGATCGTCGAACTCGGCATCCTCCACTTCGTCCCTTGAATCGGACTCGTCTTCTAATATAAAAAGTTGCTGTGATATATTTTGAGATTTGGCGTATATCTCCTCTGCTGCCTGAAGTCGCGCCGTGACTTCCTCTTATGTGACTTCCTCTGGTGTTGCGTTAGCATCTTGATTGACCTTATTGATAAAGTTCTTGATCTGAGTCAATTTTCCCTTTAGATAAGTCCGTTGCCTGCGAAGAGTGCCGATACTCATCTTGTTTCTTAAAGCCGACTGCCCTGATGATTCCAGCTTACTTCGTATACGTATCATCGAAAATTCGGAGCGATCGACGGAGACGAACACGACAGACACACGTCGCGATCACGTGAACGGCCAAACGTTGTGATCACGTGAGCAATCGATGATCAGCAGATCGAGCATACTACCGTTAACGCGGATTCGAACGTTCTACTCTCGACACTCTCGAATATTCTCGAAAATAATGATGATATTGTTCAACTCGACCTGAGTTAACTATCATTAAATTGCACTCACTCCTATGCGGTGATCATCCGCTCCGATACGCGCGCTCATCAGGCTCGAAGGACCAAATTGTTCGTTGCTATACCATGCAAGGCTGGTTTTTTCTAGGTGGAATTAAGGAGAGCATGCGATGGAGGGCCGATCACACGTTTTTTGTTCAGTACAATTTATTATCAGAGGAACTGTCACGACACACTTGTGAATTTCAACTCTTCGCGTTCGACTCAACTATTCGACTGTTCTATCGACAGGTCTCGTTCAAGGGATCTCTCCCACCTTACATGCTATTAGCCCGCGATACATGATATTAGCGCGTGATCGCAGCCCGAAACATCCCGAGCGCCTTCGATCTTAGTGTATGCTCCAACAAATATTGTTGTTCATATCACGTGTAATATTCCTGTGTTTTAATTGTTTTAGTCTCTTATTAACTAGTTTATTGATTATATGCGTTGGATAACAGTTGTTTGTAGGAATGGATTTTACAATGCATACCATATGTTCGAATTATGAAACCGCTCATTGGATAACAGAATGGCACGGTCGACTAAATTAGTTACAATGTCCGCTTTGTAGTTAAATGGGTGATTGGAAAGAAAATTGACATAGCGGAGACTCATTGTTTGCAACTATTAGATAACCCATTGACAGCATTCTTCAGATATGTCGACGACATCTTTACTATTGTCCCCACATCAAAGATCAACGTACTATTAAATTTATTCAATAACTATCATCAGAGATTGAAATTCACCTGTGAAATAGAGACAAACGGATCATTAAGTTTCCTTGACACGATGGTCATTAGGAACGACGACGAGTTGATAACAAATTGGTATGGAAAACCGACGGTTTCTGGCCGCTATGTCAATTTTCTTTCCAATCATCCATTTAACTACAAAGCGAACATTGTAACTAATTTAGTCGACCGTGCCATTCTGTTATCCAATGAGCGGTTTCATAATTCGAACATATGCATTGTAAAATCCATTCTTACAAACAACTGTTATCCAACGCATATAATCAATAAACTAGTTAATAAGAGACTAAAACAATTAAAACACAGGAATATTACACATGATATGGACAACAATAATGAAACGAATAATTTCTTGTTCAATAAAAACTTTGTAACGGTTCCATACATTAAAGACATAAGCGAAGGCATTCACAGGATTTTAAAAGACCGAGGTTTCGATCCCGTGTATACTGTCCCAAAAAAACTCAACTCAGTGATTAAAAAAGGAAAAGACCCACTCATTAACATGAAACAAACCGAGCTAGTTTATATGCTAGAATGTGACAATTGCGACGCATGTTATATAGGACAAACAAAAAGACACTTAGAAACACGGGTAAAAGAACACAAATCTAATATTAAAAAAGACGCTGATAACCACTCACAATCAGTGATTAGCAAACATCGCGAATTATTAAATTATAACTTCGACTGGTTCAACCCTAAAATATTACACAGAGAAAAACAGACAAAGAAAAGAGAAATTGCCGAAATGGTTCTCATTAAAAAGAATAACAAAACAATAAACCTTCAAAATGACACAGACAATTTATCGAAAATGTATGACAAAGTAATAAGAATCTTATAAACATTATTGACCTCTTACCATAACGTTTCGAAGTGCCGAGTAGGATAGACGTCTTGTTGAGATCGTGCTCGCGAAATGGGATATAAAGAACACTAATTCTATTAAGTTTTTAATAAACTGACATGTAAGTTTTGGACTATTTATGTATAATCTGTTATAAATTGTAATCTATTGACTTGTAAGATTCGACGTTTTGTGTATAATATGTTATAATCCGGAATACACTATAAATTTACGATATTATTCACTGTTAGTTGTAGATATGACAGAATGCTTCAACATTAGTCAACTACGTATTGTATAACCTGAAGAGGATCGCAATTCGCGATCGAAACGTCGTTGTGACCAGTATAATAAATGCCAGATAAGTCACTACAGTGAGTTTATTAAATAAAATGTTTGTATAAAAGTAATATTGTTGAATTTTTCACGGAACGATTGATGGGAAGAAACTTAATGCAATTCCTAAAATTATAAATGACAAAAATTAGATTTAGAAAATAATACTGTCTTTGTCGCACCGAGCAACGCCAGAAAGCACTTTAAGTCAATATTAAAAATCGCGAATAACGAAAATAAATATAATACAGTAAATCTGACCTTTGCTTCGTAAAACCAAACAGAAAAATAAAAGGTAAATGTCCTTTAGTCATCAACACCGAATGTAATAAGTATTGTGGCGATCCTGGGAAGTTATCTGGGTGTTAACTAGAGCATTGAATGTTCCTTAAGATCTATATCCGCGCTATCCTTTAACTAAGTTGGAGCTGTGAATAGTCGAATAATATTAATTCAATTGGTTATAAACATCGCATCAGCGTTCGCAACGTCTCAGTATGAATGAAGTCACACTTCGACGTCACAGCGACCGCCGCAACGATCTTCAATGTAGAGAAGTTGATTGAGTACGTCACAACTCTAAGCCATGACGATATCAAATTATAATTGAGGATGGACATCACGGTTGTAAGCCGTGATGATCTCAAGGAGTGCAGTTTCCTGCATGCGTCACGGCTGCGAACCGCGACGAATCTCAGAGGATGCAGTTGCCTGCGTGCGTCGCGGCTAAGAGCCGCGACGAGTCTCAGAGTATACAATTGCTTGCTTGCGTGCGTTGCGAAAGCGAGATGCGACGAGTCTCATTGTCAGATGTGCAGTTGCCTGCGTGCTTCGCAGTCGCTATCCGCAACGTTTCTCAAAGTTGAAAAGAGAGAGAGAAAGTACCTTCTGGAAATCCAGACGATCCATCTGTATGGCCAGCATCAATCTATCAGAGCCAACAGCAGGCAACCCCCGATAAAATCGCGGGGTGCGCACCTCGAGAAGCCTTCAATTGCGCACAGTACAATTGGACACGATGCAATTGCACACAGTGCTATTGGACACATAATGTTGCGCACGTGTGTCTGTGTGTTTTAAATTATATTTCGATAACCTGTGTCCAAAAGCAACGGTGTCCAATTGTACGGTGCGCAATTGAGCCTCTCCCGCGCACCTCCCTCGTCCAGAAGAATCTGGTGTGTAACGGGACTCAAAATGTCGACGGATGAATCCGTCGTAAAGCAATGCCTCGGCTAAATGAGATGAGCCGAATCGCAAGCCAACTAACCTCGTCGGTCCTTCTAGCGCTTGCTCTATGAAGAAGCAAGCTCGCAGTGTCTCTCAGCGCGTAATAAAGCACCTCT